CAGATCTCTTGGTTTCTTCTTTAGTTCGTGTTGTAAAATCTTGTTTCGCAAGTGTACGAACCGTAACAAGTAATAGTGGACTTAAGAGTCCGGATTGTCGATCCTATAAAGACTATTTTCTAGTACTTAATTCAATTTTCCTTTAACTACTATTTAATGAAAACAAATTAAAAGTTATAGTGATTTGAGTTTAAATCTTAATTCTAGACAATAAATAAATTCTCATACAATTGTTTGTAAGATCAAATAATTAGAGGTCGTTAGGGCAGAATAATTTCACCTATTGATTAGCTTTGCATCTCAAATTAAGACTCAATTCTAATGTAGTGTTCGGTTAAATTCTCCTATTGTATTCAATTTACCCCTCTTGAGTTCTGAGTGAGCCTATTCAACTAATTAAATTCCATATCTCTATGCAAATTTAACTTAGTTAAACGATTTATTTGTCCTAGAAATTCAATTATGACCGGAATAAACGGCATATGTATCTCTACTCATTATACCAATGTACTGAATTTTATTATATGGTTTAAATCCTAAACTCATATCTCTATTCCTAAAGGATTTACAAAATTCATCAAATTATTAATAAGATAATTTAATGCAATCAATCCATAGCAAAAATCAACACATGGAAGAATTAAAAATCAAGAATCTTAATAAGAAAATTTAAAGGATCTCAAATGGGTTACATTATTCGCCCTAACAATGGATTTAGCTACGCATAATTAAAGAAGAGCAACAACAAATTGTCTTAGAGTACATCACCAAATTTGAATAAGAGTATGTAGAAGAAAAAGTGGATCTTGCACCAAGAATTCCTCCTTCTTCCAATTTATGCTTCACACGATGAATTTGACGTTGTCTTCTCCCTTTGAATCTCTCTCTCGCTTTTTCTCAAAAAGTGTTTTTGCCTCTAGAATATGTGGAACCCCTCAAGGTCTCATAAAAAACGTATTCATAGGTCCTTTGCCATGCGGGAATAATAGGTTTCTTGCATGGGCTCCAAAACGGATCAAGAATTTGCGACCTAGCTATCATGTGCACGGCGCGCCAAGGCTATGGCACCACAGCACCACTCTTTTGTATCTCAGCGCCGCGGTGCCGAGACTTGGGCAAGTGGCAGGCGCCACAACGCCCTGAATGTGGTATCGCGGCTCCCACACTCTGGTTCTTCTTGATTTCTTACGTTTTGGTGCCATCCATCCCATCTTAGCTTTGTCTATTTTGCCCTTGTTTCACAACTTCTTTTCCATCCATGCCACTAACTTCAATTTAATGATCTTTCTTCGTATCCTTCACCATCTCGACACACCTACAAAACAACATGAATACACACATTAAAAATGTTCTATACTCATGAATTCTAGCTTAAAATCAGGTTAAAATTTACATAAACTCGTTAGTCAAACACACTCGTCAAATACCCCCAACTTAACCATTTGCTAGTCCTGGAGCAAACACAGAAAAGAAAAGGAGACCAACTAAAGACACAAATAATGATTCGGTCAGATGGCTCGTCTCTTGGCTCAGTATTGAGAACATTATGTCACATTCGTGAATGGTTTCTAGATCGCAGTGCAAGAGCCAACTATTCACTTATGCTATGCAAAACAGTTGTGTGTGTGAGAGAGATCAAGTGCAACGCTGTACATTTACAAGTTAGTTCACTTCCCAATCCTTTGTGGTCAATTCTTTCCTTTCTTCACTCGTAAGATTCACACACCCCCCAAACTTATTTTCTTCTACTCTCTCACCATGGTGTGGTTCTAAGGTTTTAATTTTACTTGCCAATGGTTGAGCTCTACCGGTGATGTCAATAACTTATTCATGTCATGATTCTTCTCAATTTTGAATGTTTCAACAGTCTAGTTTATATCAAGTGATTCAAACTTGCTAGATATCTTTGACCCCAAATTCAGTTCTCTTGTGTTTTAACTTGTATACGAACACTTTTCTAACATTTTTTTTTTGTGTACATCACCCTTTTTTCCTCTTATTGACCCCTATAGCAAGTGTTAAGTCGGTAACTCCCAAGTCAGACAACTTTAGGGCACCAGGTTTCGAGAGACACTTACGGACTTAATAACTCGAGTAAAAAAGGTGCAGGTATGAGGTTTAGCTTAGAAGTGCAATGCTTCCTTTCTATAAGATGAAGCGTAATTTATAAGTGATAGATCTCTAGCTTGTGGTCATCACTAAGCTTATACCAGAAAGTTAAATACATTCTACACAAATTTGTAACATGCACGGAAGCATCACAAGCTTAAATTACTTCTTTCACCGGGTCGAACGTCCCAACTCATTAAACAAGTGGTGAAAAGGTGTTGTAAATCATGGGGTACAAAGTCAAATACCTAAGTTATCAATTGAGCAGATGCATATGAACCATCATGTGCCTGTACAGCGCTAAACTTAATACTCGTGCATAAATATTACATTGCTTCACATAAATAAGTAAAAACCCAACTCAAGCATATAAATCTTCCATCGTCCACAAACTAACACATGCTCTCAAATATAATCATCATGGCGGACAACACCATCAGACTCACACAAGCACGTAACATATACAGATATAAATTTTTTTTCACACATTCATATGCAAGAAAATAATAGACATACATTCACACAAAAAAAAAAATCGATAGCTAGTAACCCAAATGATTACCCCCCAAACTTAAACCATACATTGTCCACAATGTAAAGAAAATGAGAGTCAAAGGAAGAGTGAGACTTCTATAAAATCATCTGTGGGTGCCCTTGCCATCATCCCGTTGAGAGAGATCTGGGCTGGCTGGATATGGTGGATATGTTGGCTGTGTCGGAAATGATAAGTTGGGATAGGCGGACGCTATAATAGAAAAGAACTCATTTTTGTATTGAAATTGGGTATGCATGGAATTCTGTAATTGCTGATACTGATCGGTCATAGAGGATTGCAACTGTGCTAAATGCTGCTGAAGTCCATCATATTGTTCTTGACTTCGTGTTTCCAGTTCAGCATGTCTTTGGGTCAGCTGTAGCTGCAAAGCCTCAATTCGCCCAGTAATGTCATCGGTGTTGGAACTAGCAGGTGGCGGAGGACTAGGTCGAGATGGCTGTGCCTCAGTACCCTGAATGTGAGCAATTGCAAAGATTTGCTTGGAAGAGAATTGCTAAATCAGCTTCTTAGTCACGGCGGGTTTAGAGTGAACTATCTCCTCAGTTGGAGCAGCTGGAATTCCACCCCTTCTACAAAGGGCATAGATTAAGGATGGATAGCCTAAATCGACAGTTGTAGTTCCTCTCAGTGATCACAGGAAGTTGTTTTGAATAACTGTGCCCACATCAACGCTGAGGCCTCGCTGAATAATAAAATTTAGTAATGCCCGATTCTTGGTCACTGATATTACTGGTGGGCAAAAGTATACCACATATGAAATAGTACCATACCTTACATTCAGGGAACATAACTACAGCTGGAAAGTTGGTGACATCGGAGCTGGGTCATTTCCAAGAGACATCAGGGTGGGCCAACTCTCTAATTATAACTTCCGGACCAATAGCCCTTTCATCACACAATCGTGAGAAATCATCATCTTCTATATCTAGCAATCCATAGTACTGATTAATTGTGGTATTGTCAAAATGGATCCATTTTCCTCCAACATAGATTTTCAGGTCCTGGTGTTCCTTAGTTTGAATAAAATTCCTGCACCACTGGTATTAGTCCTGGTTGTGGTTGCTTTGTGAAATGCTCCCATTTTCGGCCCTCAATTTGTGCCTGTATACAAGGTTCCAAATCATCGAATCCCCACTTTGGAATATAGTTCTTGTGTACAACCAGTTCATGGTATCTGCGTTCCGCTTCCTTACTCACAAATCTGCTTGTGTCAAAAGTGCTTGATGAGGATGCCGAGGCCTTCGATTTCTTCTCTGGTGGCATTGTGTACCGTAATAACCAAACACCTCGAACCACTTAAATCTACACTAAGGTACTGAAATGACATGAAACACGGGTAAAGTGTACAATTGGTGCCCATAAGGAAATAAGTCATTGGAACATTTCATCAAACACCTTACATACAAAGTATAGTTCACATCGTCATATATGCAATCACAAACCCTAATTGTTACGGTAACAACATTCACCATAACCCACTAAAAATTTCAAATATCAAACAAATGTTGTGATGCATTAAGCTTAAATGACCATTACAAACTAAAGCATATATGAATACAAACCTTGAAACTTGTGGCAAGTCCAAAATCTTGGTGAAATGTAAAGAGATGTACTTAAGATATGAAGTAGGGAGGAAATTGTGTGTTAAAAAATATAAGTGAAATATAGACTAAGGGGGAGATGGAGGGAGAGAGAGTTAGGGTGAAATTGAGTTGGGGAAAAATTTAAAATGGAAGGAGAGGTGAGTGAGTAATATATAAATACAATAACTAAAAATTTAAAAATAAAATAAAATAAAATAGAATGGGGGGGGGTGGTTGGCACTCGGCTAGCCGCCGCAACGCCTTTAAATGGTTCGTTGCCTAATGTATAATAGCACTTGATCTCCCACTCTAAAAATTCGTTGCCTGATGTTCTTGTCATGCCATTGCTTTGTCCTTTCCTTATAGATGGATGCATTCTCATATGCTTCTCTTCTGAATCCCTCCAATTCATGTAACTGTAATGTTCTTGATTCTCCGACTTTTTCAAGATCCATGTTTAATTGCTTCAATGCCCAGTAGGCTCTATGCTCAAACTCCACTGGTAGGTGGCATGCTTTTCCAAAAACTAGACGGTACGGGGACATTCCAATAGGTGTTTTGTAAGCAGTGCGATATGTTCATAAAGTATCGTCCAATTTCTTCGACCAATCCTTTGGAGATGCATTCACAGTAAGCTCTAGAATTCGTTTCAATTGTCTGTTCGAGGTTTCCACCTGTCAACTCGTTTGGGGGTGCTAAGGAGTGGCAATTCGATGTTGTACCTCATACTTATGCAACACTGCCTGAAATAACTAATTGTGGAAGTGCGTTCCACCATCACTTGTAATAGCTCTTGGTGATCTATAGCGGTCAAAGATGTGTTTCTTTATGAAGTCCACCACCACCCTTGCGTCATTTGTAGGTAATGCTTTAGCTTCTACCCATTTAGAAGCATAGTCCACTGCCACTAGGATGTATCGATTGTTGTAAGATGATGGAAAAGGACCCATAAAATCAACCACCCAGAAATCAAATATTTCCACCTCTAGAATGTTGTTAAGTGGCCTCTTGTGACGTGCTAATATGTTACCGATTCTCTGACACTTATCACATGATCTACAAAAACTGTGGCAATCCTTGAACAGTGTAGGTGAAAAGAAACCACATTGAAGCACCTTTGCTGCTATTTTAGTGGGGCCAAAATGTCCTCCATAAGCCGAAGCATGTACCCGTGAAAGGATCGGTTTCATCTCATCCTCTGGCACGCATCTCCTAATGATCTGGTCTGCCCCTCACCTACATAAATTTGGTTAATCCTAGTAATAGAACTTCACTTCATGAAGTAGCTTCTTCTTCTACTAATAGGTGAGATCTGGATCCATATAACCACTTGCTAAGAAATTGACAATGTCTGCATACCACAGAGCCTTTTCTATTTGCAATAATTGTTCATCTGGAAAGACCTCATTAATATCTATGTCATCTGAATCCTGCAATTGTTCTATCCTTGACAAATGATCCACTACTTGATTTTCTGTTCCTTTGTTATCACGAATCTCGATGTCAAATTCTTACAACAACAGAACCCATCGAATTACCCTTGGTTTCACGTCCTTCTTCTCAAACAGATACTTCAAAGCTGCATAGTTTGTATAAATTATCACCTTGGACCCAATCAAATAAGAACGAAATTTGTCAAAAGCAAAAACAACTGCGAGCATGTCCTTTCAATTGTTGCATAGTTGATTTGAGCATCTATTAGTGTTTTACTGGCATAGTAAATAACGTGAAATACCTTTCCTTTGCGTTGTCCAAGCACTTCCCCCACTACAAAGTCACTGGCGCCACACATGAGCTCAAAAGGGAATTCCCAATCTGGTGCCCCTATCACAAGTGCTGATGTCAATTTTTCTTTCAAAGTGTTAAAGACTTTCAGATACTCGTCAAAAAAATGAAACGGTATATCTTTCTCCAGAAAGTTGCACAGTGGTTTTGTAATCTTTGCAAAGTCTTGAATAAATCTTCTGTAAAAACTTGCATGTCCCAGAAAACTCCTGGTGCCTTTTACTGAATTAGGTGGCTGCAATTTTACAATCGCCTATATTTTAGGTTTGTCCACCTCGATGCCATGTGCAGAAATTCGATGTCCCAATACTATTCCTTCCTTTACCATGAAATGACATTTTTCCCAATTAAGCATGAAGTTTTTCTCCTCACATCTTTGCAATACAAGAGCTAACGATCCAAGCAATCTTCGAATGAATCTCCAAACACAGAAAAATCATCCATGAAAACTTCAATGAACTTTTCTACCATGTCATAAAAGATGGCCATCATGGATCGTTGAAAGGTTGCCGGTGCATTGTATAAACTAAAAGGCATTCTTCTAAAGATAAAGGTTCCATAGGGGCATGTGAAGGTTGTCTTCTCTTGGTCTTCTGGAGCAATTACTATCTGATTGTACCCCGAATATCCAACCATAAAGCAATAATGAGAATGCCCTGCTAACCTCTCTAATATCTGATCAATGAATGTCAATGAAAAATGGTTCTTTCTGGTTGCATTATTTAGCTTTCTATAATCTATACATACTCTTCACCCTATCACTAACCATGTTGGTATTAGCTCGTTATTCTCGTTCTTCTCCACTGTGAGTCCACCCTTTTTAGGCACAACATGTATAGGACTCACCCACGAACTATCAGATATGGGATAAATTATTCTTGCATCCAGTAATTTTAGCACTTTTTTTCGCACTACTTCTTTCAAGGTTGGGTTTAACCTGCGTTGTCCTTCTACTGATGGCTTTGACCCGTCTTCCATTAAAATCTTATGCATGCACGGAGTTGAATTGATCCCTCTGATGTCATCTAACGTCCGTCCAATTATTGTTTTGTGCTGTCTCAGTACCTCCAACAATTTGTTCTCCTCTTCCCTTGTCATGTCATTTGCAATGATTACTGAAAGTGTTGCGGAGTCTCCCAAATACGTATAACGGAGATGTGAAGGTAAGGGTTTTAGCTCAAGAGTGGGTGCTTTTTCCACTGAGGGTATCGGGGGTGAAGTGTTGTACCAAGAGATTTAAATTGCCAATGTCTTCTTCCTATTGGTTGCTCGGCCAAGTTGACAACACATTCAGCTTTTTCTGCATTTGCTACTTCCGATTGCGCAAGTTCTGCCTCATAAAGATTTGTTCGACACTCTGTCTCCAATGTATCTGCCACAAGCTCTTCAAGAACATCTACTTGGAAGCAAGTGTCCGAAGTTAATGGATGTTTCATCGCCTTGAACACGTTGAATATGACTTGCTCATTGTCCACCCGAAGAATCATCTTTCCATCATAAATATCAATCAGCACTCTTTCAGTAGCCAAGAAGGGTCTTCCCAAAACAGAGGAATGTTTGAGTCCTCCTCCATGTCCAAAATAATGAAGTCAGCCGAAAAAATGAATCTGTCAAGTTTAACTAGCACATCTTCAATAATCCCCTTCAGTCGTTTGATCGATCTGTCAGCCAGTTGCAAAGAGATTGTTGTAGGTTTTGCTTCTTCCAACCCAAGAGGCCTATAAACAGAGAGAGGCATAAGGTTAACATTAGCACCTAAATCACATAAGGGCTGTTCAAAATAATTAGAACCAATTGTGCAAGGTATCGTGAAACTCCTTGGGTCTTTTAGTTTAGGAGGTAGCTTTCTCAATAGAATTGCACTGCACTCCTCATTCGGGCAGATTGTCTGATGTTCTTCCAGCTTCCTTTTGTTAGATAGGATCTCTTTCAAGAATTTTGTGTAGCTGGGCATTTGTGCAATTGCATTCGCAAATGAAATATTGATGTTCAGTTTCTTGAAAATCTCTACAAATTTGGCAAACTTATTGTCCAACTTCTTTCTTTGTAACCTTTGAGGGAAGGGAATTGGTGCACGTAAGCTTACACGGGACTGGGTGCTCTAACTACATTTGTTTCTTTCCTTTCGTCCCCTTTGTCATTTGGTTGTTCAGACTCTGCTTCTGTGCCAGCCTCTTTACCCATTATTTCTTTGTTTTTTCGCTCTGGTCTCTTCACATGAATCTCAGGAAGTTGCACCCCACTTCTGGTTGTAATAGCTTGCACTTGCTCTTTTGGATTGACCATGTGTTGCCTTGCAATGTCCCTTGTGGACGTTCTGCAAGCTGTTAAGCTATTTGACCAATTTGTGTTTCCAACTTCTTGATGGATACTTGTTGATTCTGAAAGTTAGTGTCAATCTGCTGGAACACCTTGTCTGTTTTCTGCATATACTGGTTGAACATCTCTCCGAAACTTGGCTTTTTCTGCTATTGAGCGTTGTTTGAAATGTTCCCTTGCTGATTATCCGACCATCTGAAGTTTGGGTATTGTCTCCATCCTGGGTTGTATGTTTGAGCAAATGGATTAAAATTTTGAGTCTCATTCTGAATGAAATTGACCTGTTCATCGGGATAACCTATATATGTACAGTTTTCTATAAAATTATTAGCCTCGTAATTCTCGCAAGATGGACCTACTGTTACTACATGTGCTCCTTTTGTTTGTGATTTCACCAACAAGTCCACCTGTTTTGTCAATGCTACTATTTAGGCATTGGTAGCTGCTGTGCTCTCTAACTCATATATTCCTCATGTCTTCGGTGGTGCCACTCTTTTCGATGAGAACATTGAATGTGTAGTGGCAATCAACTCAAACAGTTCCATGGTTTGCTGCACATATTTTCCTATAATTGACCCACCAGCTGAGGCATCGACTTGGGATTTTGACAATGGTGTAAGTCCAGTGTAGAAGTATTGCACTTGATTACCTATAGTAATTCCATGGTTTGGTCATTTCCTTATCATCTCATTAAACATATTCCATGCCTTGTGGTAACTTTCTCCTTCTTTCTGTTGAAAGGTTTGAATCTCCAATCTGATTTTAGCTACTCTCGCTAGTGGGAAAAATTTATTGCAGAATTTTCTGGTTAGTTCTTCCCATGTAGTATTGCTGGCTTGAGGCTCTGCATCTAACCACTCCAATGCAGCATCTCTCAACGTAAATAGGAACAGTCGTAGTTTAATAGTATCTTCATTAACCCTTGGAGCATGAAAGTTCTAACAATTTCTGAGAAATCTAGAGATATGCGTGTTTAAATTCTCATGAGGTAGCCCGTAGAATTGTAGGGTGTTGCTCATCAAGTTGATCCAATCTGGCCTGATCTAGAAATTATTCACCCCAAAATCTTGATACACAATACTAGAGCGCGTGGGTGCTGGTATAGGCTTAAGGAACATTGATACTGGCAAATCACCCTCATTTATTTTCCCTCGCTCATGCTGCTATTCTAGTGGTGCCACCACTCTCGCGGCCATTTGTCCAATCGATTGAGTAGGGATCGGGATTTGTTGATTGTCAACCATTTGATGTTGCTATTTTTGTTTGTATTCTTTGCATTTTCGTCTGAAGATACTTTCTATCTTCGAATCAAATGGTTCAAGATCATCGCCTTGGGCACGGAGCATACAATGAACACAATTTTTTGTAAATAAAAGAAATAAACATATCAAATAACAGCTAAAAAAAGGTAAATTAAGACTAAAAGTAATAGTCCTCGGCAACGGCGCCAAAAACTTATTGTAAAATTTTGTTTCGCAGGTGTACGAACCGTAACAAGTAATAGTGGACCTAAGAGTTCAGATTGTCGATCCCACAAGAACTATTTTTTAGTACTTAATTCAATTTTCCTTTAACTACTATTTGATGAAAACAAATTAAAAGTTATAGTTATTTGAGTTTAAATCTTATTTCTAGACAATAAATAAATTCTCGCACAATTGTTTGTGAGATCAAATAATTAGGGTAGTTATGGCAGAATAATTTCATCTATTGATCACCTTCACATCTCAAATTAAGACTCAATTCTAATGTAGTGTTCGATCGAATTCTCCTATTGTATTCGATTTACCCATCTCGAGTTCTCATTGAGCCTATTCAACTAATTAAATTTCATATCTCTATGAAATTTTAACTTAGTTAAAAGGATTTCTTTGTTTTAGGAATTCAATTATGACCGCAATATATGGCATAGGTATCTCTACTCGTTATACCAATGTACTGGGTTTTACTACATGGTCTAAATCCTAAACTCATATCTCTATTCGTAAAGGATTCACAAAATCCATCAAATTATTGATAAGATAATTTAATGCAATCAATCCATAGCAAAGATCAACACATGAAAGAATTAAAAATCAAGCATCTTAATATGAAAATATAAAAGATCTCAAATGGGTTACATTATTCGCCCTAACAATGGATTTAACTACGCATAATAAAAGAAGAGCAACAACAAATTTTCTTAGAGTACATCACTGGATTTTGAATAAGAGTATGTAGAAGAAAAAGTGGATCTTGCACCAAAAATTCCTCCTTCTTCCAATTTACGCTTCACACGATGAATTTGACGTTGTCTTTTTCCTTTGAATCTCTCCCCCTTTCTCTCAAGAAGTGTTTTTGCCTCTAGAATGTGTGGAACCCCTCAAAGTCTCATAAAAAATGTATTTATAGGTCCCTTGCCGTGTGGAAATAATAGGTTTCTCACATGGGTTCCAAAACGGGCCGAGAATTTGCGCCCTAACTATCCTGCGGCGCCGTGTCAGCGCCACCCTTTTGTATCTCAGCGCTGAGACTCGGGCAAGTGGCAAGGCACCACAACGCCCTGAATGTAGCACTGCGATGCCCACACTCTGGTTCTTCTTGATTTATTGCGTTTTGGTGCCATCCGTCCCATCTTGGCTTTGTCTATTTTGCCCTTGATTCACAACTTATTTTCCATTCATGCTACTAACTTCAATTTAATTTTCTTCATATCCTTCGCCATCTCGACACACCTATAAAACAACATTAATACACACATTAAAAACGTTCTATACTCGTGAATTCTAGATTAAAATCAAGTTAAAATTTGCATAAACTCGTGAGTAAAACACACTCGTCAGTTCGAAGCAGTCCTTTTTGAAGCGTTCCATTTTTCCACAATTGTAACACTTCTTGTTGCTTTTATCTCTAGATTTAGATTTGATTTTAGATATTCATTTCCCTTTTTTGTGAAAAAACATTCTCTCTTTTCAGATCTTCCTCTTATAAACATATTTTCTTCTCTAGGATTAGATTTTGTTTCCTTTTTGACTTCTAAATCCCTAGATCTTAAAGCATCAATGACTATAGTTTGAGTCAGTTTATCCCTTGAGTATTTTATTGCATTTCTAACATCTTTATATGAATCTGGTAATGAGTTTAGAAGAATTACAGCAAAGTCTTCGTCATCAAATTTCTTCTCATTACGTGCAAGGCTTTTCCCTATGATACTAAATTCACTCAAATTTACCTCTAAGTCCTTCCCAGGGTCCATCCTAAAGCTAAACAGCTTTTCCAAGAGATAAATTTTATTTGGTAGTGTTTTAGTTAAGAACATAGCATCAAGTGCAATCCATAGGGCTCTAATAGTTTTGGATTCATCAACTTGTCTCACTATGTTATTAGACAAATGTAAAATTATGGAACTATAAGCAATTTCATTCATGTCTTCAATTTCATTTGATTTTGCCTTAAGTTCGGTAGAAAAAGTTTCAAGATCATCAAGGGCCTTAGCGACCCTCTGTTGAACCAGAATAGCTCTCATTCTCTGCTTCCATATAAAGTAATCCCCCTTTCCATCGAATTGAGACAATTCGACCTTCGAACCCATCACGGGTTCTTTAAAAAGGTGGCTATACTCATGGACATAGTTTAATCTTGAATTAAAGATCAACTAGTGAGCAAAAAATGGTTTTGAAAAATTTCAAGAATTCAGGCAGAAATGTAAACACAATCTTGAAACAAGAACAGTGATATTTGATACAAAGTGAGTAATGCTAGTGATCAAGTAATTGCACCAAGTTATATACAAGAACTTAACCGCTACAGCATGCTCACAATAACAAAAGTATGCAATTCGAATTACAGTACCAATTCTACCATGTATCACATGCATATATCTCATATCAAACATCAATAATTGAAATTACTATACTGAAGCCCGAAACAATTAAAACAATCTCATCCTATATTGTGTTAATAGTAAAGAAGAACACACTGCTAGTCTCAACCCGAGGACGAAAAGAACTCCCTCTTTTCTGGAAGTAGACCGTGGCGATCATACCACCATTCACTGCCTTTTTTCCCTCCAAAACAAAACAAAGGAGACAAGAATTAGATATTTCAGTTTGTATTAGGAAAAAAATTGATCTAATACCGATGACCTAAAGTTTGTTCAGAAAACTTGCAACACCAAGAAAAAATTAACTCAAATAGTTTTTGATTCAAAAAAAAACTTGCACCCCCAAGAACCTCGAAAGCTCTAGTACAAGTTGTTGGGGTTATTTTGTCGATCAGTTTGTTAAACAGTAAAAATAACCAAACCAAAGTGCAAGAAAAAATAAAAAGAATGCCACAAATTGTTCACCCAGTTAGACAATCGCCTAATTTGGAGGGCTCAGAGATTAGCCTGATTACTAAGTACACAAAACCTTTCAAAAAGGGAGTACAGATCTAGAAAACACAATTGGACTCAGAGATAATCATCGATCCACACATGGATCTCTTAAATCTTAAAAACTTGACCAAAAATACGAACAAGACTTTCTGCCAACCACTACAAACACCAAATCAGTCAATATTTCAGGCCTAATTACTGTAGCATCATGAATCCCACAGATTCAACTAATATCTTGGCTAGGTCACTTATAAGAGATCAAAAGAATCGAAGAAAATCAGAATAAGAAGAAGAAGAGTCCAGAAGAGAGAGAAAGAGCCTCAAGAGATCTTACAAAACCAGAATAATGAAAAGTCAAGTCCAGCTGTTTAGCCTCCCAAGATTTCATCCAAGGGTCCAGCATACGTTTGAAGAAACAAAACTCAAGTGAATGCTTTTAAGCTAATCCAGGGTTACCACTTGGCCTTCCAACCAGATTGCACAAATAAAAGAGTTGCATTTTTTAGAAACACGTTTTATAAACAACAGCATGTTCTCATGATGCTCTCCTCATTAAATCCAAATTGGTTGAAAGGAAAAAGATACCCAGGATTCAACCGTGGTCAAAATG